AAGCCGTTACCCTTCGGGGAATCTTCAAAAAACACACAACCTGGGGAGGGTTTGGCAAGCTGCTGACGCCGTAGCATTTGCGTTGGATCAGGTCAGATCCTTAAACTGACGATTGAGTCAGGCGTGTTATCCCTAGAACCCTGCTCAGCGCAGGTCACGGTCTTTATGACTGTTGGATGTTTAATCCTAAGGGATCCCCTTTCTTCCTACAAGCAAGGCCGTAATGGTATGCTGGAGTGTGTCTCAGATTATTGGATGTGTTGGAGTTTTTACTTGCTCTGTTGGGCTTTTCTTTAACGTACCAATAAATTTATTTTATTTTATTTTTTTTTTTTTCCGCAGCCACTTTTTTTAATGTATCATCAGGAGATTTTACTGTAATTCCATTTACATCAGCATGTTTATAGATTTCATAATCATTTCCTCCTGGGTGTGTCATATCACCGAAAAATATAACATGCTCAATTCCTTCATTTTTAATGTGCTTTAAGCAATATCTTTTATCCCATCCCTTAGGAAAACAGTCAATTGAAATTTGTCCTCCAATCACAAAATCCATATCATAATAATCAAATTCTTTTTTTAGGGCTTCAACCATTTTTTCTCTTACTTTTTCATTTTTATCATAATTAAAAAATTCTAATCTTTCTTCTGACGAACAATTACGCCCAATTGGAGATATATTTATCATTGAATCCCTATATTCAATAAATGTCCCTCTTTTAATTGGGATATCTATTTCACTTAAGTATTTTAGACAAAAGTTTACGAATTTTTTATATAGATCTTCCTTCATGTAATCAATAATTCTTTCTTGTTTAACAAGTTTTCCGTTTTTATAAAAACTTAGACCGTTTTCCGGAAATGCATAATCAAAAAGTGATAAGCAATCATCACCTACTTGTTCTATTTGTTTTTCAATGTTAGAACCACCTACAAATCCAACTCTAACTTTTTTTCTTAAATCTTTCAACATTTTTATTATTTCAGGTGTTGCTTTACATCGTGAGGGAGTTAGGGTTCCATCTACGTCAAATAAAAAAATTGTGTTTTCTTTAGTGTAAGATGACATATGGTATTTTAAGAAATTTTTTATAAATTTATAAAAAAACTATTTGTTTCAAAATAAACAAATAATAATTAATTTATTTTTTTAAATAAGTGAAACTATAATTGTAACTAAATATCAATTTATATATATATTATAAAAAACATTATACAACAAAGTGTTATTACTTTTTATAACCAATAAATTATTTTTAACAAAATGTATAAAATGTCATGATAAAAAAAGTGAACTTCTAAAAACAATCTTTTGGAATGTTAAAATGAAAATTTATTTAACAAGAATTGTAAATTTGATATTAAAAAAGGGTTCTAAAATAAATATGAATTTACAATATTAATGTAAATAAAGGTTAAACTCAATAAATTTAAGAATCATTATGTATAAAAACACATGACTTATTACAATTAACACCATTATGATAAAAATACTAGAGTGGGTTGATATGTTATATTATTAAGATAATCACATCAATTTAGTTTTATTTCTCTTTATTTGCTAAGGATTTTACAATAAAAAATTACAATTTGTAACGTTAAGAATGTAAAGGCATAGCTTATTTTTTTTATTCATTTTTTTAATTGGCTTTCTAAATAAATTAATGTAAATTATCTGTAGGAATTTTTAATATCTTGTACAAATATTTAATATAATTTTTACACATTTCTTAATTTAAATTCTTAATCTAGGCTTCTAGGAGAACATTTTTCTCTTTACAAATAAGGCCTTTATGGTATGCTGGTGTGCAACACAAGTTATTAGATGTTAAAGTTTTTACTTGCTGTGTGGCTTTTTAACAATCTACCAATAAATTTATTTTATTTTTTTCTTTATCTTAGGATAGGATTTTGATAAATTACAAATATACCATTTAAATAATTTCTGATTGAATATACAAATTTAAACTTTTTATATATATTGATACAGCAACACACTTTCTAATAAAAACAAGTTCTTTATAAAATTTCACAAACATTTATAAAAAATTTAAAATGCATAAAATTAACAACTTAATATCAACACATTTATTAAAAACTATCAAGAATTTTATCACACTCTTCATTGTCACAGAATATCGACCATATCATTTTAATAATAGGAAAGTCATCTTTTCTTTCTTTTGTAATAAGATAATTATAAATACAATTAGCTGTTCCTACACCCTGAATTTTCTGATTGCCAATTTTTTTTTCAAAGTCTTCCAATGAAATATCTTCCTCCGCCTTGGCTTTACCAAATTTATAATTTCTCCCCATACTACATGACACTATTAAATCGGCAATACCACACGACTGGAATAGTGTTTCAGAGGAAGTAGCAGGAAAAAAGAAATTTAAAAATTTCTTAATTTCCCCCAAACCACACCTTAAAAAAGATATACTTGTATTTTTAGAGCATCCTAGACCAACCGTAACACCATAACCTAGTGCTATAATATTTTTTAGTGATCCACATAGTTCTACACCTACAACATCTTTTGTACAACTAATTTTATAATATTTACAATTTAAAAGTCTAAATAAAACATCTCTGTCGTATTCTTGGTGGTATCCAAGTGTACCTTCACATTTATAAAGAATATTACCTAATAGTCCTTTAGCCACATCACTAGCAATATTAGCACCCATAAGAACATTTGTAGAACATCCCCATATTTCATTTATATAATCACTTACTAAAGTAAAAGAAACTTTGTATTCTATTACACCTTTTACAACTGATAATACAATAATATCTTTTTTAAGATATTCTTTAAATTTAATTAAAGAATCAATAAATTGGTGTGGTAAAGCAACAATAATTATATCAATATCAGAAAAAAGTTGTATATCAGATGTATAACAAAGATTATCTGGTAATTTAATACCAGGGAGATACTTTTTATTTTCATGATCTTCATTAATTAATTTATCCATAGATTTACCTTCAAATTCTTCTACAATTCCATAAATAAGAATCTCTTTTTTAAAATACTTTAAATTAGATATTACATTTTTAGATACCAAAAATCCAAGTGTTGTACCCCAATTACCAGTTCCAATAATTCCTACTTTTTTCATGCTAATTATTTTTAAGGGTTTATAACCTTTTTTGCATAAACACACATTTTATTAAGTCATGTGGTTTTAATAAAATAAACAACTTTTTATTTGATTAAAAATACAATTATTAGATAAGAAAATGCTAAAACTTTACACGTCATAATTTATTAAATATGATACAAATTCATGTAATATTTATTTATGATGTTATTAAAATGTCATTGTTGATTTAAGATAATTTACTAAAGCATAAATTTATTATCTGTAGGTAATTTAAAAGTTGTTGGAATAAAATATTTAAAGAGAAAAGTTAAATGTCTCAAGGTGCAGAATGATTATTTGACAACTAAATATACTTACAAACAAAATGTAGTAAATGAATGTACAGTATTTAATACAATAGAACTTAGAATATTTAATATAGAGCTATATTATAAAAATATTAAAATACAAATGATAAATGTTAATATAACACACAAAATAGAATTAACCAAATTTATACATAAGAATACATTTATTTTTAATTACTAATCTGATTAATAAGATCTTGTGTTATATTCTCAAGATCAACAAGATTTTCTACAATACAGTCTTTAACTGAAATAGCATCATCACAACTTACTCTAAGAAACATAAAATCATCTTTAGGATGGCATACTTTGTAAGAACTAAAAATACATCTTTTATCTTTACAAAGTTTATCTGACAAACTACTACCAAGACTATGTGTTTCTTTCTCTACTTTAAGTTCTATTGTATTTTTTATATTTTTATCATAATTTATTTCCACAGACATTTAAAGGGTAAAATTATATTTTTATCATAATTTATTTCCACAGACATTTTAAAGGGTAAAATGTATTTGATCATTACAATATAATAAGATATGTATTTTATTAGAATATGTATAACAAGACTGGTAATTCATGTATTATATAAGAATGTATAAAAAATTATTATTTATTTTAGTAAATGTAAAATTGTAATTTTAATTTCTTTCATATTTATTTCTATCTTTATTTTCATTTTTAGAATGAAAAATACAGCAAATTTTACTCTTTTTTTTATTAAGATGTTCATTATCTATTGTTTCTTTACTAAATGTTACCTTTTTTACTTTACTTTTTATTAATTTAAGAACAAGTGTTTTTGTTGTTTCTGTTTTTGTGACAGTAATCATATCCCTTAAAAATAAAAAAAATAAAATTTAGAATGCAAGCGTAAAGTGAAACAAACAAATCAAAAAATTAAACATTTAAAACATTTTATATTTATGCATAATATAATAAAATATTTAATTGTCTGCTATCACAGGTGTTAGTGTTTTAATAATAGCAAAATTCCCTACATAATCTCCTTTTTTGTATGATATAACAGATTTGGTATCATTAAATACAATAACACTGTATACACCCCTGTAATCACTATCTCCTACACCTCCTAAAGCTTTAAATACAGGACTAAAAACATGTATAAAATAATCTTTAGTTACTTGCAGTTTAAACCCAATATTTATTAATCCACCTTTATTTGGGTCAATACATCCATCTTCATATGCATAACATTTGTACAATCCATTTTCTTTCTTTATTTTTGTAGCATTTGGTAAATATTCGATTTTAAAATCATTCATTAAGGGGTAATATTTTAAAGTATAAATCATTAAAAGTATCAATATAATAAAAGATAAAGATTATTTTTATTAATATATTATCTTTATAATTAGATTTATTTAGTATGCTGATTAAAGGTAGTAAAAAGTTTATTTTTTGATAATTTATTATTTAGATATTTGACAATAATTTTTATAAAAGCAATAATTTATTTATATTTCATTCACCAGTAGATTTATTGTACTAGATATGATTATTTATCAGAATCAAATTTAATTTGTCATTTTATAATTTATTTAAAATTTTATGTAGTGCTATTATTATACAATTAATGATAAAAAATAACAAAATAGAAATAATGTTGTGTCACAATTTAATAATACTTTTTAATTTAATTATTTTATAATTAAATTTGTATTAAAAGCTTATATGATTTAGATTAAATAAATAATCTTATGTAAATAATAAATGTCAATAAATTTAATAAAAATAAATTTTATAATTATTTATAAATTGTGTTATTGTTTTTAAAACATTAAGAAATTGTGTAATGAATTATAACCTTAATTTGTTATAATATTGAAAACTGTAAGGTTTGAAATTTATTACTGACTCAAAATAGTTTAAATTAAAAGTGATAAATTTTTACAATTTACATAATTTAAAATCATAAATACAATCATTTTTATAATTTTTACTTTACAAATCAAGTAAAGTATAATTTATTGAAGATACTAAAAATATATTTATTTTTTTAATTTATTTTTATTTATGATTAATTACAATTTATCTCCTTTTTAAATTAAGGAGATAACTTTTCATTTGCTGTTAGTCTTTTAAATAAATTTTAAATGCCCCTGTTATGAGTTTTAAGAAGTATAAATATGAATACTTGAAATCTATAAATAACACAGATACATATTGGTCTAATAAAGCTAAAATACTTATTGAGTGGGATAAAGAGTTTAAAGAAGTTTTTAATAACATCTTTGAATCTTCTAAATGGTTTATAGATGGTAAACTTAATGCCTGTTATAACTGTATAGACAGGCATGTTAAGGAATCACCAGATAAAATAGCTATAATTTATACAGATAATGATAATTGTATAACAAAATACACTTACAAACAATGTCTTGATAATATTTGTAGAATAAGTAATACGTTAGTAAGTAAAGGATTACAGAAAGGAGATTGTGTAACAATTTATATGGCTATGTGTCCAGAAGCAGTTTTTAGTGCGCTAGCATGTGCGAGAATGGGTGTTATTCATAATGTAGTGTTCGGTGGATTTAGTTCTAATAGTCTTTTATTACGAATGGAAGATTCTAATACTAAATTTCTAATTACTTGCGATATTGCGAAGCGTGCGTCGTCAAATATAAATTTTTGGGAAACAGTGGATAAAGTGTTAGATGATAAAAAATTGGATGTTCTTTTATTTGATTTTGAAAGTAGACCAGTAAAAGATAATATTAATATTGTATACTGGTCTGATATATTAAAAGAAGATGTAAAATTTATAAGTCCTGTATCTGTTGATTCAGAAGATACATTATTTTATTTGTACACCAGTGGTAGTACTGGTAAACCTAAAGGAATGGTACACACTACAGGTGGATATCTTGTATATGCAGCTCACACTACAAAGGAATGTTTTGATTTGAAAAGTAATGATATCTTTGCTTGTACAGCTGATATAGGATGGATTACAGGACATACATATTCTATTTATGGACCTTTACTTAACGGAATTACAACTGTTATTTTTGGAGGAACACCCGTTTATCCAAATTACTATCGATTATTTTCATTAGTTGAGACTTGTAGGATTACACAATTATACACTGCACCTACGGTAGTAAGAACATTACAGAAGTATTTCTCTACTACTACATTTGAAAATAAATATAATTTGTCATCACTAAGGTTACTCGGATCAGTTGGTGAGCCAATAAATAAAGAAGCGTATAAATGGTTTACAGAAGCATTTGACAATATTCATATTGTTGATACGTATTGGCAGACAGAAACTGGTGGAATAATGGTAGCCCCTTTACCTAATACTATACCTGGACAGCCTGAGTGTGCGTCTTTACCTTTTTATGGTGTAGATGTGGCTATCGTAAGACCTGGATCATCAAAGGATAGTGTAATTGAAGCAAATGCTTATGAATTAGGTCATGTTGTATTTAAAAAATCTTGGCCTGGTATATCAAGGGGTGTTTTAAATGACAGTAAAAGATATTTATCTTCATATTTCTGTTATAAAAATTGTTATTTTACTGGAGATGAGGGATATAAAGATTCTGAAGGGTTAATTTGGATTCGTGGTCGAGCGGATGATGTCATAAACGTGTCAGGACATCGACTTAGTACTGCCGAATTAGAAAGCGCTGCGTGTACCGATATTCATGTAGCAGAATCGGCTGTAGTTGCCGTTGAAGATGAAATAACAGGACAAGCTTTAAATATTTTTATAGTATTAAAAAATGGTGCGAATATAGAAACAGCTAAAGATTCAGTAAAAAAGACTTTAAGAAGTAAAATAGGTAGATTAGTACATCCTAAGAATATTTATATTTGTCGCGGTCTTCCTAAAACTGCCACAGGTAAAATTTTAAGAAGAGTGTTACGTGATCTTATAAATGGTAATGTTTCTGAAGATTTAAGTACATGTATTAATACAGAAGATATACAAGCTATTAAGAATTCTTTAGCTATCAATAAAATATGAGGTGATATTAAAAACATTTATTTTACTATGTTTTGTTATAAAGAACATGTGTTTATTTAAGAAGTTTAGTAAAAATTGTTACCTGTCAAGTCATCACAGTTATGGTCTTCATATCAATACTTGTTTCTACCACTAAGCTTTTATTTTATTTTACGGTACTAAAAATTTAAATTTTTTCTTTACCCTTATCTTCCTTTAGTTGTATTGTAAAAATTTACGATATGGATTCCAGGAAGAAATAATAAAAAAAGATCGGGTGGTCTATAGTTAATACTTGAGATCATTAATCTTTTTACATTTTTTACTAATTTTTTATATTTAAGTGTATGTATTTACATTTAAATAATTTTACGTATAAACGAAAAGTGGTATATTTTTGTATATTAAATAATTATTGCGTATGTTTATTATTTACTTAAGCAAAGTAATACACTCTTATATTTCTTAAACCAAAAGTTATACATTTCTTTAATATTTAGATTTGTGTTAAACACCTGACGAGTTTATTTTAGTAGGAAGATATCAAATATATCATCTATGCATAATAAATATACATTTTGTATAATAAATTTACATTTTGTATAATAAATTTACATTTTGTATTAAATAATAAACATTATGTATAACATTAAATACACATAATTGTTTTTGGATTTGCAAACAAAACTAATGGTTTGAAACAGTGTTTTGGAATGAAGCAATGTTTTAGAAATTACTATTTAAAGAAAAATAATTTTAAAATGATGCATGAAGAAAATAAGAAGAGTATTAGAAAGCTATCGGACCTTAGACATTGTTATATAATAAATAGTTTTATTGAAAGATATTACAAGTTTGGTAGCTACCCTTCAGGGCAAGATAACATTATATATAATAATATACATGATGTATAACATTACACATACGTGATGTAAAACATTACATACACATAATGTTTAACATTAAATACACATCATTTATGTATCTCTGTAAATACTAAATGTCAATAGTTAGCCTCTCAACATTTATAAAAAAATACTAAATAATTATAATTTATTTTGCGTAATGTAACTTAATAATTTTCTTATTGCTTCTCCCCGATGACTTATACTATTTTTTTCTGTTACAGAAATATCTCCGTATACTTTATCAGATCCATCTGGTAAAAAAATACTATCAAACCCAAATCCACCTTCTTTTCCTTTAATAATTGTTCCACTCACCTTACCATAAAAAAGCTTATAAATATTTTTATTAAAGTTACCTAGTCCTACAATACAACTAGAAACAGCATCTCTACCAATTTTAGATACTAAATTTTCAATACACTGGTTGCCAATAAGGAGAAAATCTTTACCGTAAGGACCAGGAAACCCATTAAGAGCACTTAGTTCTATGCTAGTATCATCTATTATTATCCACTTGTCTGTGTGATATTTACATACCTTTTTTAATTTATCCAATGCTATATCTTCTTTAGATCCTTGTATTTCAGTTATATCTTCATGTAACTGTTTAAGTTCTATGTTATGTGAATGTTTAAGTTCTATGTCGAGTAGATCTTTAACTTCATTAAATTTATTTTTATTTGATGTGGCAAAATGTAAAATCATAGGGGAAAAATTAATTAAATTTTTAAGAAAATGAAATTTAAGATAATTTTTATTTTGTAAATTTCTACAAATAGAGTAATTTTATATTTTGTAACTAAGTGTTATAACTTAATTTGTTTTTTCCTTTACTTAAATTTCATTTTGTAATTAAGTGTTGTATGGGCTATTTTTTTTTCCTTTACTTAAATTTTATTTTGTAATCAATTGTTATAGCTTATTTTATTTTTTCCTTTACTTAATTTTGTAATCAATTGTTATAGCTTATTTTATTTTTTCCTTTACTTAATTTTGTAATCAATTGTTATAGCTTATTGTATTTTTTCCTTTACTTAAATAACAGATTTTTTTAAATTTCAAATCTAATTGTAAACTACACGGATTTTATTGTAAATAAATTTAAATTATTACACTAGTATAAAACATTACATTTATTTTATTAGTTTATATATTTATTTATTTTTTACCAGTTTTTTTAAAATTGCTAAATGTCTAGTAATCGATAAATAAAGTAAAATACATTTATTTAGAATCAAAGCATATTTTCAATTTGTAACTTACAAGAAGAGATTTGTGAACATTTAAATGGAATATCGGAGAAAAGAAGCAGAAGAGAAGAATAAGTAAATTGCTATTTACTTAAGAAATATATATTAGCATGAACAGGTAAATAAAATAAAAATTTTTTATATTTATTTCAATTAATATAAAAATTTTTATAAAAGCTATTTAATTTTGTTTTTTAGGAAATTAACACCATTTTGTAAGAATAAACTATATCTATAACATGTTTTGAATATTATATATAATCTACTTAATTTAATAAAGGAGTAAAATGAAACTATTGGTAGAATAATTTTAATTTAGTGGTTATATAATAGTTTACAATTTAGCGATAGAATAATGTAACAACCACGTGGTAGTATAATAAAATACAACAATTGGTAATAAAATTGTACAAAATAAAATTAATATTTAAAAAATACTTTTAAAAAACAATATAATTTTTTTTTAATTATCTAAACACTTCTACTATCACCTTTTAATTTTACTAATACAATAATCACATATTGTTTTACGGTTAATTAACAATATATGATTTTTTATTAATAATTGTACACTTTGTTTACTTTTTGACTCAATTTATATTTCCAATAATATAAAGAAAAATTAATTAAAATACATAGTTTAATCATTTATTAATAAGTTTATAGGAACATTAGCAATATATATTAAATATAAAATTTATATAAAATTTTTTATAAATAATTTTTTTTTACCCCCAAAATGAAAAAGGGATTAACAGCAGTTGGTGGTGCAATAACTATTACAACTACAATGTTAGGAGCAGGTATAAATTTTATGCCAGCTGCATATGCAAGTCTTGGTTACATTAACAGTATGTTTTGTATGATGTTCGTTATATTTTTAACAGGACTTACATTATTTACTGTTGGTTATTCTGCACATTTAAATAAAAGTAATACAAAAAGTTATTCTTCTATTGGTTATGACTTTCATATGTATCTTGGATACATAGTTGATTTTGCTATTGTGTTTTCACAATTCTTTGTTGGTATTGTATTTCAAAAATATATGGTTGATTTATTAATTCTCTATCTTTTTAATGTAAAATCGGGACAAAAAGATTATGATACTTATAGAATAGGAGGATTGCTGGTTACTAGTATTATATTATATGGATTATCTTTACTAAAAGATCTTAGTTCTCTTAGGTTTACTTCTTATCTTTCTGTTTTTTCAGTTTTTTATTTAACTCTTCTTATGACATTTTTTAATTTCTATTTAAAAACAGATATCCAAACAGGAGGGTTTGATGCAAAAAATAATAAATATGGATTTGGATTACAATCTATAATACTGGGAATGTGCTGTCAAGTGAATATGGTGTCAGTTTATAGTGAATTATTAAATAAATCTGCAAAAGGATTAATTTTTATTTCTGCTGTTAGCAGTATTTTAGGAGGAATGATTTATGCATCAGTGGGTTTTTTTGGATATAAAATTCTTGGAAATTCTATTGGTAAAGAAGACATTATAAAAATATTTTGTGATAGAAATTCATTATTAAACCGTGCACTGGCCAATGAAAATATTTTTATAAGAAAATCACCACAAGTTGCTATAGTTGGTGCTATATTCGTACTATTAGGATCATTCCCTTTGCAACTTAATCCTGCATCTAATATATTAATGAAGATATTTGGAAAGAAAGATGAAAGATCAAGAATAATGCTAGTTACTGGATTATTCCTTTCTATTCTTTTTATAAATTTTATTCCTAATTTAAAATTAGATACCTTTATGGGAATATGTGGAGGAATATTTAGTAATTCAATATCCTTTTTTTTCCCATCACTTTATTATATTTTATCAGTGAGAAAGATTAACCTTATATCTATTTTATCTGGTCTTACAATTTTATTTAGTATTTGTGTCGGTATTTATATTATTTATACAATTCTTGCATCCTCATAATAATTAATAAAGTTATCTTCATTCTATTATGTATTGACATTCTATGTCATATTTATTGTTTGTTTTTACCTTTGGGTGGTTTTAATATTTAATATAAATTATCTCTTTCTATATTTTATTATTATTTATGTTTATTATTTTTTCTTTGATTTCATTATTATTTATGCTTTTTCTTATCCATAAGATATCTTTTTCTATGTCTCATTATAGTAATATAGTTATATAAATTACTTTTTCTTTGATTTAATATCATTAATGCTTATTTTCTCTTTCTATGTTTTATTTAAAATTTATGCTTATTTTTTTCTTCAAAAATTCCCTCCTTTAATTTTATTATAATTTATGCTTATTTTTTTCTCCATAAATTATTTTTATTAAATTTTGAAATTAGTCTTATTTGTTTTTCTTTGTAATAAAGATTTTCTCTTCTATGTATTATTTCAAATTTATGCTTATTGATCTCCTAAAATTTCTTCTTTCCCCAGCACTTCATAACAATTACGTGTCTACACGAAGGGCGGCAAATTGTTTATACAAACTTGCTAAACATTGTAACCTTGTTGTTTTCTTAGTGGCTGTTGGAACAACAAGGGAACACGGCTATTGTCCTTAGTCTTGAAACCATTGCCGGTAGCAGAAGCCGTGACTCTTCGGAGAATCTGCATCAATTTGGGCAGACGGGTGTCGTTAGAAAGTATTCTCACCCAATTTAAGACAAATGTGCCTTGACCTGGGAAGGGTCTAGCTTAAAGCTGCATATTATGCCGTAGTATTCTGCCGGACTGAGTTGTGTCCTTAAATGGTGTATTGAGCCAGGCATTAAACCTCAAATCCTGCTGAGCGCAGGTCTTAGTCTTTATGGCTAATGGATTTTAATAAATCCTACGGGATTCCCTATCTTCTTACAAGCAAGGCCCTAGTAGTATGCTAGTGTGTGTCGCTAATTATTTGATTTTGAGTTTTGGTGTCGTAGGAGTTTCTTAGATGACAATAAACTAATTTTTTTTTTTTTTGCTTAATTTTTATTATAAACTAGCCTGTGCTGTCCTGTTTATAAACGGGACCTAAACATTATAATTGCGTTATTTGGCTAAATGTTGTTTAATTTTTTTCCAAGTTCTAATAACCCCTTTTTCTTTATTAAAATATTTATTTTATTATTTTTTTGCCTGCTACATAAGAATTATATGTATAGCTTACTCATTTATTAAACATGATTTTTCCATACTTAATAAAATGTATTATTCCTGTACATTTTAGAATTGAAAGTTATTCTAAAGAATACTTCTGTGTATGTAATCTTCTTGTATTTAGAAATCCTAGTCATCAAAGAACTCTTTAGTTTTTAAAATTTTTCATTTGTATATACTGCATATTATATGTAGTACATTAAAGATATGACATACCAAGCCTTTATTATAATAACTCTTTGTAGACTATATTGTCAACACAGTTATCCGAATTGGCAGACATTTCAATTTTTAATTGATTTTTACTTCTAACTCTACTT